GAAATATATATTAAATCACTTATTTATTTTTTATGTGAGAGGAAATTACAAATACTTTCAAGTTAATAATATTTTTTAGAAAAAAGATTAATATGTAAAAAATTTTAAATAAAATAATAATACATTTATTTTTTTAAAGCATATTTAAATTAATTATTATATAAATGTTTACAAATATAAAAAATAATTTCTATAAATTAATTTCGTTTTTATATTAAATAGCTAATAATTTTAACTTTATTAATTTGATTTAAAAATATATAATCACTATATATTAAGCTTTAAATATATTTTTATTATAAAATATATAATTTAAATTAAAATAAACAATTAATTGTGATCAAATTAAATCATGATAACATTTATAATTAGCTTTAGTAAAAGAATATAGTATTAATTAACATTATAATGTTTTATTTTATATATATTATTTTAAACATGATTTTAAAATAATATTTAATTATTAATTTAGTTTATATACATTTAATATTTATAATCATTAAAAATAAACATAAAATACAGATACAAAAAATTATGGATAAAGTTAAAGAGATAAAAAACAAAAATTAATTTCTTAATATAAATAAAATATAATTATATTAAAGGATAAAAATAAAAATAAAAATTAATAAAAAAAAATATATACTTATTATATAAAAATATATTATTATTTTATATATAAATTTATATTAATTTTACAAATAAATGGTGATTAATTTGAAAAAAACAGATGGCAATAAATTTAAAAAATATTAAAAAAATAATTGTCGCTATAAAATATATATTAAGATAAATTAAAAATTTTGATTTACATATTCCATTTATATTTAATAATTTTTTATAAATTTATTAAACAAAACAAAAAAAAATTAACTATAATTTATATATATTATAGATAAATTATATATTTTTTTTAAAAATATAATAAAAAAAAAATATATAAATTATATTTATAATTTGCTCTACTTTAAATTAATAATATATTAATTATATTAATATGATAAAAATCTAAAAATAAAAAATTAATTGCAATTATAAAGATAATATTTAATTAATAATAAATTTATATTAAAAACTTAAAATAGGCTATTTATAAAATAATATATTATTTTAAATAAAATATAATTTTTATATTTATTATAACTTTAAAAAAAAAATGGCAATTTTTTAAATATATATATAAATTATAATATATAAATAATTATTATTAAAATAAATATATAAAAATATTTTTAATATTATTATTATTATTATTATTATTATTATATTATTATTATTATTATTTGTTTTTGTTTAATAAAGAAGGGTTTTTTGTATTTTTTAATGCTGACTAGTTAATATTTTATATAAGATTGTTAGATTTTAATTTATAAAGATTATTAGTTTGAATTTATCAATTATGGTTAAATTAATTTATTTTATATTTTCTGTCGTTATAATTTTTTGGAATGGGTATATATATTTTTTTTAAATTTAGTAATTCAAATTAATGTTTTTTGATGAATCTTTTGATGAATTAGATAAAATTTTTATTTTATTCATTGAAAATTTATGGTTAAAGTAAAATTTTTGTTGAAACTAAATTATAATATAATTTTTTTTTATTATTTATTAGGCTTGAGTATTTTATATTATATATATTATTATTATTATTATTATTATTTTTTAATTTAATTTAATTTTTTTATAAATTATACTATAATTAACTCTATATCTTTTACATTAATTAACAAATAATTTAAGAAATAATTATTTTAAAATTAATTTAATTTTTATATTATAAATAAAAATATATATTTATTTTGATATATAATTAATAGTTTTATTTTTATAATTATTATAAAAGTACATCATATTTTTTTAATTATTAAAAAATTAATATGTATTCGTAAAATTCAATCAATTCATATATAAAAATCAAAATTTAAATATGTTAATAAATTATATAAAAATAAAATAAATAAACTAACAATATAAACATTAAAACAATTATTATTTAACAATAATTTCTATAATTAATAAAATAACACTAATTCATAAAATTACTTAAAATAAAACCTAAACAATGTACACGATAATAAATTCATTTATGACATCATCACATAAGTTTAAAAGATAAATTATTTAATTAACTATTATATAAAAATAATAAAAACCAAAATCATATTTTATATATATATTATATACATTTTCTTGATTTTATATTTTTTGTATTTTATTTATTTAAAACTTAATTAAAAAATTCGATTATACTAAATTTTTATTTACTTGGTTTTTATTACTGATTAACTTTTTTTTAAACAAAAAAAATAATAACACAAAAAAATATTAGAACAAGTAATATATATATTTATAATAAAAGTTGTAAAATAATTAACTAAATTATGTATATTAGAATTTTAAATATATATTAAAAAAAAAAGTTTAAAAATGTAATTTAAATAAAATAAGTATTTAAATAATATTATTTTATAAATAATAAAATTGATATAAAAAATCACATACTATTATTTATAATAAAAGTAAATAAAAAGAAAATAAATAGACAAATAAAGAAAAAATATAAAGATCTTAGAAAATAAAATATTTAAAAATTAATTTATCTAATTATTAAAAATATAAAGAAATTTATACTTTAGAATTTTAAAATCTAAATTATAATATTTGTAAGTTAAATACTTAAAATAATAATAAGAAAAAAATTAGAAAAATAAAATTAAGTTAAAAAAAATAAAATGTAGTTTATTAAATAAAAAAATTTAATTTATAAAATTTATTTTAATATGTATATATAAAAGGATGTATAAAATGACAAAATTCTTAAAAAAGATATAAATTATTAAAAAAATATGAGAAATAAATAAAAATATAAAAAAATTTAGTGAAAAAAAATAATAAAAATGAAATAATATTATGTTTAGAGAAAGATAAAAAGAAAATAAAAGAAGTAGAATTATATATTAAATTAAATATAAATTTAATACTGTACATTTAAAAAATATTAATAAATATATGAAATAAAAATAAAAATTATGTATATAAATTAAAATATATAAAATAATAATAATAATAATAATAATAATAATAATAATAATAATAATAATAATAAATATAATAATACATTTATATATTATAATTTTAATTTGTATCGTTTTACTTTAATTTTAATATTGCCTTAGTATATATTAATTTTAATAATTATCCTATTATAATAATTATAAAAGTTAAATTATATGCTTTAAAAATATTTATCAAAATTATTTATATACTAAAAAAATTAATATTTTATTTCTTAAATATATATATAAAAAGTTTATAATAACAAATATTATATAAAACATTTTAATATTTGTAGATTATCTTTTTATATATATATTAAATTTTATATAAATTTAATATTTAATTATAAAAATAAAAAATAAATATAAAATGCTAAAAATTCATTTTTTATATCTAAAGTTTTTAAAAATCATTATTTTAATAAATTAGAAAAAAAAATTGAACTAATAATTTATTTATTTCTAATATACAAACTAATTTCTGACTTATAAATTATTTAAATAATACTAGCAAAATCATCTAATTTAAAAAAAAAATTATTGACTTTATAATAAAATATTATATATCCTATAAAATCAGTTAAGTTTCTCTCTATTATAGTTAAATATTAAAATAAAATATATACAATTTTTATAATTTTTATTTTAATTATATATTATTAAAATAAATAGAATAGAAAAGATTTATCCTACAAAATTTTAAGGAAAACCTTAAAAGAAAATATAATTTAAGAATATCTAGAATAATATTATTAGATAAAATTTATAATAGAAGTTACAATAATAATTTAATATTCACAAATAAAATTTAAAATATGAAGAATAACATATAAATTATTTTAATTTTGTTAAATAATAAACTGAAAATACATATTAAAAATTATTATAAAAATAATAATAATGAAATATTATATGATATATTTATAATAATTTCAATAAAAAAAAAAAAAAACTAAATAAATATTAAAATAGAAATTAAAATATATATTATAAAAAAGTAATATTGTGTATTTATTTCAAAAATAGAAATATTTATATATAAATATGACTTGAAACAATAAAAAATTATAATTTTATATAATCATTATATTTTAAAAATTAACTACAAATTATATAATATTTTCATTTATTTTAAGGAAAATTTAAAAAGTAATCTAAATTACAAATATTATAGAAATAATAATAATAATAATATATAATTATTTAATATAATTTAAAAACTATAAAATAATAATTAAATATAAATGAATACTAAAAAAGAGCCTGACCTTACAAAGTCTTTATAAATAAAATAAATTTAAAATTCTTATATAAATGAGATAGATAATTAGATATCTTAAATTGATTAAAAAAAATCACTATCTGCAGTTAACAATTCAATACAATAAGTAAAATTAAAAAAACAAAAAACAAAAAAATTAATAATAATAAATAAATGTATATATAAAAAATATGGTAAAAAGATTATAAATTTAAATGGCATTGAAGCCGAGTAATATTTAATAATAAGCATTTTAAAAAACTTAGACTTTTAAAAAAATCTGAATTAAAAAGGATAATTTTTAGCCTATTATCTCTAGGAAATTGTATTTAGTTAAACAAAAGAATATTTAGATTATTTACCTGAATTGATAATAAAACATATAAAAGAAAATTTAAATTTAAAACATATTAATTAAGAAGAGTTAGCTTAAAATTTAATAAATTATGTTGAATAATTATTTAAATATTTAAAATTAAATTTAGTTATTTAAATTTTTATTTCTTTAGCTCTTGCAATTTCTGTAAATAAAAACATAGCAAAAGAAGGTAAATTAAATTATTATTTTATATAATTAATATTAATATAATAAATTATTAATTTTTTATTTTATTTTTTTAAATTTTAATTTTAGGCATAAAATTGTTAAAATAAAATATTAATGTTTATTATTAAAAAAAGTAACCATAAATTGTTCCTTAAAATTCATTACAAAATTTACTTTTAGTTGTAAGATCTAATCCAGAACTAAAAGTTAATAAAATTCTTATAAAAAAATAAATAATTTAAAATATAATTTATATATATAGTTTTTTTATATTTTATATTATTTAATTTAATATTTATATATTAAAAAAGATAATGAATGAATAAATCTAATATTTAAAATAAACATAAACTGAATTAAAATAAAATACTTTATTTCTTGAAAATAACGAAATTTAAAATATTAGTTCTCTGAATCCATGTGATATATTAAAACAATAAGGTTCAGTTATTAGTTAATCAATAGAAAGTTTAAATTTACTTTTTTTAGATTTTTAAAGTTTTAGTAATGAATAAGTTTACTAATGCATAGAATATATATCTTTAGACATATAACAAAAATAAGAAGATTTATAAAAAGCAAATTGGAATATTTCAAACATTATAAAACTAATTATTTAAAAAGTTTCAAGTATTAATGTATTTAAAAAAATTAATATTTTTTAAATTATTTTAAAAAATATTAATTCAAAAGTGGGGAAAAGTATTATTATAAATGGATTGTTAAAACCTATAAATAGAAACATATTAATAGTTTTGCACATTTTTCAATATTTTTTTATAAATAAATAAGCAATATTTTTTTTCCATGCCTTAATAATTATTTAATCAAAAATGGTAGAATTCAAAAAGTCAGCTTTAATTTTTTAAAAACCTTCTTTAACTAAATTAACCTTCAATAGTTCGTTGGGACGAAATACCGAAGACAATTATTAATTTAGACTTTAATCCACTATATAAATATTAAACATTAAATCCTCCAGTTCTTTAATTTTGGGCATGTGTAGATATATTACAATAAATTTTACAATTAAGTGAAGAATATTATGACGAAACAAAATTGTTGTTAGAGTACCCGCTAAAGAAATGTACAGATATACTAACAGTAGGTTTATCATAAATAAAAAATATAAAAAATTAAGGCTTGTAAAATGAAATATTAAGTTAATTATTTCAAAACTACCTTTCTAATCATTCTAGTTCTGTATAAATATTAGAAGCAATATGGAAAAAAAACGAAGATCTTTTAATAAACGCAATGTGTGAGCTATACAAAAATGATAACAAAAAAGAAAATACTTGCTTAAATATCTCCAGAATTTTAGATATTTCCCAATAAATAAAAGATTCTTTAATTTCTTTAACAAATTGTAAAGATTATTACTTTTCTGTTTCTTTGGGTATCCTTGCTGGAAAAAGAGAATTCCTTCATTTTGATTAATGGATTAATGAAAGAATTAAAAATGTAGGTAATCCTTTTGTGGAAGCTTTACTAACTTATATTGACGATAATTTACTTAGCTAAATTAATTAAATCAATTCTAAAACTTATTTTATTAATAATTTATAAGAATTATATGAAAGTGCACTTGAGAAAGCTTAAATAACCCCTGAAATTTTAACCATCATTTTTGAGTGCTTGTTAACTGAACCTCCTTATAATTTATCTGAAATAAATCGTTAGAAACTGTAAGAATAATATAAAATAATTATTGAATGTTTTCCTTAATTAAATGGAAGAATTAATCCATAAATTTAATAAATAGAAAAAAAAGCTAATACATAATTTTAATAATTGTATTCTAAAGAAATCAGCATTGAATAATTTATTGATAATTTAAATAATTTAAGAAAATCTAATATTAAGGAAGATAATGAAGTTTTTGCTTGTATGATTACTGGACTTTTAGAAGAATGTAGATTCCATGACTAATATCCTTATAGTGAATTGATTTTTACAGGCTAATTATTTGGAGCAATTATAAATGCATAGTATTTTATTTTTTATTTAATTTTGATTTTTTATCAAAAAAAACAAAAGATTAATTTTCTAAAAACCATTGGCTATATTTTTAGAAATAGTTCTTGATTATTGTAAAAGAAATAATAAAAAAATTGAATTTAGTATTAAAGCTATAGATGGAATGAATGATAGGCTTTATGAATTTCCTAATTTTATTTATGGTCTCTTTGACTCATAGATTCTTTTATTTTATCCTGATTTCTTGTTGAAAATTGTTGAAGTAAAAATATATATATATATATATATATATATATATATATATGTATATTATATATATATATATATATATATTTATATATATATATATATATATTATTAATTAAAAAAATTAATATTTTTTATAAGAACTGTTATAAAAAAGGGATTATATTTAATAATGATATATAATATTTAGATTAAATAAAAGATAAATGTCTAAATCAAATTAACATAAATAAAATGTAAAATATCGAAAATAATTAAAGTTAAATAAAAGTTTTATCCTAACAATAATAAAAAAATCAAAATAAAAAAAAACTTTAATTAAAAAGTAAAAAATAATTCGATCCATTACAGGCTTAAATTTAATTATTATAAGATTAACAACAGAATTTTATTCTCGAAAATTCGGTTTAATAGATATCTTAAGATTCCTAAAATGATATTTCATAATAATTAAATTAACCATTAATAAACTAAGATATTACAATCTAATATTACTAAGAGAACATAATATCTACTTTTGAAGAAACGGAAGATTCTTTAACCCCCAAAAAATAATATATAGGAGGTGTAAATTTTGTAAATATTCGAGATAATTAATGTGATTATTCAAACTTAACAATAACTGAAATAATCTAAAATGAAATCAATGAACAGCAAATACAAAATTTAGTTAAAGAGAATATAAAAATGAAATTAGTATTTTTTTTAAATTAACTTACTGAATAACAAATTCAAAAAAATATTGAAGAAATTAAACTTTATATAGATAACTAAAATAACTTAAAATGGTTTGTATGTCAATTAATTTTTTATCGTGCTCCAAATGAACTTGAAAATTAATCTAATTATATAAGTTTGCTTGAAAAAATCAATAATAAGAATCTTTTTAAATACTTAATTAAATAATCACTTATTTTACTTAAAAATCTATTATAATCAAATACCAATTCTACTTTAAATGAGAAAAATTAAATAAAAAATATATCATCTTGGATAGGATAATTAACAATAAAAAGAAATATTCCTATTTTTTCAAAATATTTAAATATTAAAACTTTAATTACATCTTCATATCCTGAAAAAATAGAAATGATAATTCCTGTAATTAAAAGATTGTTATTTTATTCTAAAGATTCCCATATATTTTAACATAAAAATAATATTTGGATACGCCGAATATTCAGCCTACTTGAAGAAATCAAAAACTTAAAAAAAATAAAGCTAAATTAAAAAATCGAAATTCAAACTCTCTTTAAAGAACTAGAAATAGATCCTTAAAAAGATTTAGAACCTTGTACATATATATAATATACTTTAGATTAAAATATTAATAGCAAAAATAATGTTAGCAATTTAAAATAATAATAGGATAATTGTACATAGTCTAATAAATAAGTCGCCTTAAATTTGAAATAAATAATTTAAAATGATTTAGAGTAATCAATTTAAGAAATAGTAAACCCAATTTTACAAAGAAGTATTGCTCTTTCTTTAACTACTGCAAAGGAGATAAAACTAAAAGATTTTTGTATTTAATCTAACGAAAATATTGTTCTTAATGGGATCACTTCAATGACCTAAAAATTAGCTAGCTCTCTTTCTTTAGTTACATGCAGAGAACCTTTAAAATAATGTTTTTAAATTAAACTTAAATAAGCTCTAAATTAATATAATAATTTAAATGAAGATGAATAAGATAAAATCATATAATAAGCCATTCTTGATAATATTGAAAGTGCATGTGAAAAAATTAAAAATGAAGTGATTTTGAAAATTGAAGAAGAGATAAAAAAAGATACCAGTGTTTAATAAGCTATATAAATAAGAAAATAATATAAGCGAAAAAAAGAAAATTATATTGATGAAAAATATTTTTAATATGTTAAAATTTTACCAAAAGAACTATGGCCTTAAGATAGTGATTTATGAATTTTTTTCAAATATTAATATTTTATTAATTTTTTTTTTTTATGTACTTAAATTTAACTTTTATTTATAAATTAAAATATAATAAACTAACTAATTCAATTTATTTTCATTAAAGTAATTAAATATTTTGGGATATTATACTTTTTTGATAATTATTTAGGTAAAATATACTAATAGATTCTTATTAATTTAATATTTATAAATTAAGACAAGAATATTTCAGAAAAAATGTTTTATAAAATAAAATTAAAGGGAAGAAATGTCAAAAATAATAATGAAAGATATAGAATTTTCCCAAAAACTTGTTTTCTTTATTTATTTATCAATTTTATATAAGTTTCATAATTTTAAAAATTAAAATATAGAAATCGCATATTAGTTAATATTTTTTTAAAGTTATTCAAATTTTAGCAAACAAACAAAAATAACATGAAATATATGTATTTTAATAATATACAGTTAAACAAATAAATATTAATAATCATTAATATAAGTATATAAAATTATTATAGGAAAAGAAATATATAAATAATCAAAAAAAAAAAAGTTAAATTATTTAAATATTTTTAAATAATTAATTTAAATTTGAAGTGATATTTTTAAAATATAATTTGAATTTTTTTTGTAAATATTTGATTGTTTAAATTTTATATAGGAATGTGTTTTTTATTTAAAAAATAATTTAATTTATTTGTACAAATATTTTCAATTTAATATTTTTGAATTTATTTATTAAAAAAAGAATAAATTATAGCCATATATTTATATAAGAAATAAAAAGAATATATTAAATCATGAACATTTGTATTTAATTTGAACTAATATAAAATATATGATTAAATTTTATTTATATAAAAATAATTTCTATTAAATTATTTTTTCTTTTTTTTAAATTAAATTATAATTTAATTTTTTTTTTAAATTAAAATTATGTAAATTAAAAAATATTAAAATTTGATAAATATATATACTCATATATTTTAAATATTTTTTTAATATAATTAAGATGTCAAACGATTAATATAAACTAAACAACAATTAGTATTAAAATAATAAATCTAATAATTATATAAAGATAAATAATAAACTTAATAAAATAAAGATATATTGGATTGGTTATGTGGAATAAATTAAAAAAACATAAAGGAGATAATATAAGATAAGAACAAATAAAATAATTATCAATCTAATTAAGGGTTTGATTTTCAAAATATAATACACACAGAATAAAATAAATAAAACAATTAGAAAATTGAGAGTAAAATGTACAATTTAATCTGTAAAATAAAATTTAATAAAATTCAAATGATTTTTAAATTTTTAAAAATAGAGAGAGAATAACCAAATAATAATTAATAAGAATAAGACTTTTATAAAAAATAATTTAGTTAAAATATAACAGTTGAAAAAAAATAGCCTGGTAGACACAAATATTCAGCAAGTTATGATTTTTAAAATATTAGTGATTAAAATTAATAATAATTGCCATAAAATAATTATTAGAAGAAAAATTTTGAACACAGGTTTTCTGTTAGTAAGCATAATTCCATAAATAAATCTATATTCTATAATTAATTATTTGACAATAAATAAAATAAAGAATCAGAATATATAAATGAAATGGTAAAATACGAAGATATTGAATTAAAAAAATAAAGTATTAATAATGGAAAAATTACTCAAAAAAAAATAAATAAATAATTTAGTGGAATAATAAGTGATTAAATTATAAAAGAAAAATGATTTTTCATAAAAATATTTAGAAATAACAAATACAATTAAATTAGAAAAGAAATTATATTTTGAAAAATTTATTTAAATGAATTTTTTTATATATATATAATCATAAAATAATTTTTATATTTTAGAATATATTTTTTTTTTTTTAATAAAAGATAAACATATAAATCGTTATTAACTATACAAAAATTTTTTTTTTTTAGAAACAATATAATTACTTTATATTTATTTATTTAAAAATAAATAATTAATAAAGTAATTTATTATTATGTGAATTTTTATAATTATTAAAATCAATTTTTTTTTAAAAAAAAAAGTAACATTAATCAATAAAGTAATAATAAAAAAATATCTTAACAATCAAAGTTTTCAAAACAAAAAAATAAACATAAATAAATATCATTTATTTAAATTTTACATAAAAATTCAATTAAAATATTTAATAATAAAGAAGACCTATTTTATTTATTTTTTCAATAAAGATAAACTCCATAAACAGTTGCTAAACAAAATAACTAATCATTTACATAATAATCACTTGCAAGATAATCAGTATCATAATCCCAAAAACATCTTGAACCAACCCTCAAACCTTAACCTTTTTGTTATCCAATAATTACAGAAACCAAAAATTTGTATCTTGGGTAATTTAAATCTTTTAATTTATATTTAATTGTATCAGCTATTTCTTTCGAGAGATTAGAAGTAGTAGTTACATCATATTATTAGGCATTTTTCAGCTTATCTTATAAAACTTCATTTATTATTTCTTTTGCTTTGCCAGGTTTGAACTTTTCTCTTTGTTTAGGCCTTATTTAATATTCTTAACTTGTAGCACCTGTTTATGCTTTTTTACTCATATTTATTTTATTAATTTTTAAAATTTTTTTTTTTTATAAAAATATATTTATTATATAAATTTAAAAATAGTTATACTTTTTTTATTTCTTTCATTATTTCAATTTTTTTATTTAAAAAAAAAATAAGAAATTAAAAGAATTATTGTTATTAAAAATATATTAATTAAAGAAAATTGAAAATTAATTATATAATTTTATAATAATATATATTTTGTTTATAACGAAATTATTTCTACACACTAAAAAAAAAATTAATTTTATCTAAATACAAAACTAAATTTAATAAAAGCAAATATAGATTAAATAAAAAATTATTTATTAAAAAAAAAAAAACTAAAAAAATGGGTAAAGATTTCACAAATAATAAAAGAACCTTTAGCAACACAACATTTTCTTAAAAATCATAATTTCCAGTAGAAAAAAAAACCAAGAATTTTAAACCCAAAGACCGTGAATGGATACCTGAAAGTGAAGATGAGTAGAATAAACCCAAGAACACCTAAAAAATAGAAGCTTAACACGATAAAGGAAACATGTAGAAATACATAAAAAATAAAAAAACAATAGACTTACTCAATAAAAGAAACATAACATATCTCTTTCCAATCTAAGAACATTGCTTTAAGGCTATATAAGCAGGAAAAGATGTAATAGGAAAAGACAGAACAGGATCAGGAAAGACCTTAGGCTATTCATTGCCTTTAATAGAAAAGCTAAGAGAAGATGGCTTTTTTGGAGTAATAAAGAGAAGATAAAGCCCTTATGTATTAATATTAGTACCAACAAGAGAATTATGCATATAAGTAGCTAATGAAATATCATCTTTAAAACATTCAGATAACGAATTCAGAGTTTTATAAATATATGGAGGGACTGATATTAGAGAATAAACAAACTAGTTAAGGGATGGATGTGAAATAGCTGTAGGAACCCCTGGTCGTATAATAGATTAATTCGATAGAGGAAATTTAATACTTTCAAATTTGAAAACTGTAATTCTTGATGAGGCTGATTAAATGTTAAATTTTGGATTTTAGGATGACATAGAAAAAATATTTAAAAATATTGTAGAAAGTAGAGAAAGTTTGGGACTACCAAGAACTTAAAACTTATTATTTTCTGCCACTGTACCAAGCTGGGTACATGAAATAAGTAGAAAATACTTATAGGAATAAAATATTGTAATGATAGATTTGGTAAGGAATAATGATAATAAAACAAGTTAAGGAGTAACTCATTTAGCCATAAATTGCCCATTTTATTAACGTACAGAAGCTATTGGAGACGTAATTTTGTGTTATGGAGGAGGAGCCCATTCTCGAGTAATTATATTTTGTGAAACAAAAAATGAGGCTAATGAAATTATGTTAAAAGCAAACATAAAGCAAGATTTATAAGTACTTCATGGTGATATACCATAAAAATAAAGAGAAATAACTTTTTAAGGTTTTAGAGAAGGTAAATTTAAATGCTTAGTAGCTACAAATGTAGCTTCAAGAGGTTTAGATATTCCCGAAGTAGATTTAATTGTCTAATTAGAACCCCCAAAAGAGCTCGATACATACATTCATAGAGCCGGAAGAACTGGAAGAGCAGGCAAAACAGGAGTTTGTATAACATTCTTTACAAAAAAACAAGTAGGTTTAATTGAAAGAATAGAAAAAAAATGTCATATAAAAATGAAAATAGTTGGTGCTCCGCAACCTGGAGATATAGTAAAAGCATCCTAAACTGATATAAAAAAAAATCTCAAAACTGTCAACTAGGAAGTTGTTTCCATGTTCTAATAAGTTAGTGAAGATCTAATTTAAGAATTTGGACCCTAAGAGGCTCTTTCAAGGGCACTAGCATATATTTCTGGATATATAGAGGGTGTCAAATAAAGAAGTTTATTATGTTGTTTAGAAGGATATTGTACTTATATTGTTAAAGCACCACATGAAATTAGAGGTTTAGGATATATTTGGAATTGGCTTAAAAGTAATTTCGATATTGAAGTTGTTGATAGAGTTAAAGGAATGAAAAAATGTGCGGATTCTTTGGGAGCTGTATTTGATGTTGCAGAATCAGATATAGTAAAATTTGAAGAATATATATAAAATATTGCTGATGGTGCAAAGAAAGGACTACTTTTAGAAAAAGCAACTGTCATGCCTAAATTAGAAGATGATATGGCTTAAGGCTTTGGAAATAACTCTAATTATAATAATGGTGGAAACAATACCGGATTTTAAGGATTCTCATAAAATGGAAATATAAGAATGGATTAACAAACAAAAAAAGAGTTGGAAATCTTTGTTGGAGGTTTACCTTTTGATATTTAAGAAAGAGAAGTAACATAATTCTTTAATAAAAATTTAGTTAGATTTACTTAATTAAGGCCACTTAATGGTAATTTTTTTAATATATTCCATTTAAATATATTTATTTTATTAGATAATGAAGGTAATTTTAAAGGTATAGTTTTTGCTATATGTGAAAATAAAAATTCAGTATAAAAAGCACTTGCATTAAACGGAGAAAAATTAAAAGGTAGATCTTTAAGAATTAATATGGCTGCTAAAAAATGAATTGTAATGAAACTTTAATTAGAATAATATATTTATAATTTAAAATTTATTTATAAATGTATAAACATATCTATATTAAAAAATGGACAAAAATAATTTTTTTTAAAAAATATATTATATTTTTTTTTTTAAATTAATTTAAAAATTATGCAAAAGTAGAATTTTTATTTTTAAGAAAAATTCATTAATGTTTTTCTATTAATTGCTTATATTATGAAAGTGTATTTTTTTATTATTTATATTTACTTATAATATGATTTTTATTATCTACATTTTCCACAAGAAAAGAAATTAATTTTCTTTTAAAGTCAGCTTTTTATATAAATTCATTGAAATTTAAATTTTAAATTTTCTTATGTTAAGCAAGTTAACCTAGTCTTCCGATATTAACGAGATTATTTACATCCTCTTCTAAATTATTTTATAATTAATGCATAGATCGTTTGATTGATTTACTATTTATTTCTTCTTAAGATTAAAGCAAATCACATTTTTTAATAAAGTTATTTAAAATATAATTTGTATAGGTAGAGTTTTAATGTTTACTAAAACTTTTTTATCTAGATTTAATAATAAAATTGTTTTATTTAAATTTACTATCTTTTTATTTCTCAGTAACCTTATCGAAAAAATTACTTTAATTAGATTTAAGCATGTTTTCATTTAAACTTTATATTTTATACGTTTCTTTTGTACTATTATTACGAATAATATTATAATCTTATAAATCATTACTATTTTAAAGTTCTTATTATTACGTTTAAATTTATAAAGAAAAAAAATCAAGATTCTTAGTCATTTTATAAGTAGAATTTTGAAATTTTTGAGGATTATAATGCAAATTGTTTTTTCTTTGGAAACGATTTTAATCTTTTTATTCTTTTAAAAAAATATTATAACTATAAATGAGATAATTTACCATTTTTTTTCAACTTATTTAGAAGTTAGTTTTTACAATTTTCCTAAAATTAATTTTAAAATTTTTAGTTTAATTCATTTTTAATTTTTATTTCGTGCATTTTTATTTTATTTTAATTATCAGTATTTTCTAATTTCGAATATTTAAAAAGCTTAATAGCGTTTCTTTATTATTCTTTTTCTTCATTTTCAATATATTAATTTAATATATCTAATGCTTTTGTTTCATTTGAATATTTAATTTCTTCCTTTTTATATTTGATTTCATCTATATTTATAAAAAAGTATATTTATTTAAATATTTATTCGAAAAAATAATAATATACCGTTATTAATTTATAAAATAACTGACATATCGTATTATTTGCTTTTACATAATTTTTATAAATAAGTTTTGCTTTTTAATTCATCTTTAAAAATGTTATCAATATTTTAATTTTTAATATTTTTTTAAATATTTGCCATATCAGAATTCTTATTTTTGAGTTCATTTATTCTATCTTTAAGCTATATATTTTTGAAATCCCTAAAAAGTTCATTTATTTTTTCTTATTAAATATTTTAGGAAAGTATAATATTCAAATTTTTTTAGGCACTAAATCTTTATTTTTTATTTTATTTCCACCTTAATTAGTTATCTATTGGAGACATTATTAAAAAATCATCTTAATATTTATTTTAATTCATTTTTTAGTGCATTTGTTTGAAAAATGGATCTTTTTCTTAATTTTTATATTCATTTTTTAATTTTTCTATACTTATAGTGTTTCTTTCTTATTTTGTATTATCTTTTTATTCGTTACTTTTTTATGTTTTTAGATTAATTCCATATTACAATTCTAAACTAGATTAAATATTACCGTCACTTTATTTTATATTTGATACTTTTTTACTAATATACTTTTCATTATTATTATTTAAAATAGTATTTTCTTTTTTTAATGAAAAAGGTTATATTGCCTTTCTTAATAAATATCCAATATAAAATTTATTAGATTTACTCATTAAAAATTATATTATTTTTCAAACTAATGAATTATATTTTTATTTTTTTTATTAAAAAGTATTATTATTTTATAACATTAAATATAAATTAAAAATTAATATTATAAATTAGTAAATTCTTTTCCTTTAATAATAATTAAATAAAATATTTTTTATTCCTTAATAAATATAAAATTAGATTTTAAAAATAATAATAATCATGCTTTCCATAATAATAATTATAGTTCGTTTATTTAGAAAAAACAATATTTTTTTGTCTAGTGGACTATATGTGATCCGAAATTTCTTCCAACAATACAATTCCATCCATATCCATCTTGTTTATCAAATACGGTTTTAATATAGTTTGCAATTTGCCTTTCTTATTTATAATCTTTTATTGCTTATAAAGATATCTCTTTAACTTTTTTAATCATATCTTCTTCCATATCAGCTGCTTTTATTTAAGGTTCTATATTCATATCCTTTTTGTACTATAAATTATAATTTATCTTATTATTATTTAATTTAAAAAAAATATATATAAATATTTATTTTTTGAAATAATAATAAAATGTTTTGAAAACTAAGTTTTTTTTTTTTTAAAAAAAATATAATCATAATATATAAATATATGAATTCATAATATTTATTTATTATTTGATTATTATTATTTGGAATTAACTAAACAAATATTTATAAGATTTTTATTTTTTATATTAAATAGTATTTATATTTAATTTTTAAATATTTAACAATATATATTAACTAAAATAAAATAAATAATCTGAAAAAAATAAAAAAATATGAAAATATTACATATTAAATCAAATTATTTTATTTTAAATATTATCAAATTTATCTTATTAATATATTATTTTATATTTTATATTTATAAAAATATATTTAATTATATATTTATTTTTATTATCAAATATAAGATTTTAAAATATTTATTTAAATGAAGTAAAGTATTTTTAAATTATTTATTATATTTATATAATTAAATTATATAAATATTTTTTATTTTTAAATATAAATTAAATACGTTTTGCTTTATTTCGTATTTTTTTTTTCAAAAGTTAATATTTGAAATAAAACAAATTAAGCTATAATATAAAATATAAATATTAATTTTTTTACAATAAATATTATTTTAATATATAATATTTATATTACCTTTTTAATTTCTTCATTTTTACTGTATTTTTTTTTTAAAAAAAAAAAACTTAATAAATAAAAAAAAGAGCGTAAAAAAATGATTTTTTTTTTTTTTTAAATATATAATAAAATATGAACAAGTAATATTTGTTTTGTTTTTTTTATATGCTAATTATTTTTCTTTAAATAAAATATTATTTTTCAAATTTAAACTTTATACATATGAAGAGATAATATAATTTTTTAGAATATTAATTATAATCTAAACTTATTTTTAAATATTGCTAATTCATAAAATTTAAGGCATATACATTAAAATAATATTTTTTATTAAAAATAAATAAGTGAGAGTTTAAGTATATTAATAATTTTTATTTTATTAAATAAATGTAAAAAAATAATATATATTCCGATATCGACATTTATTTATAAAAATATAATTTTATGCGCTCTTTAAAAATAATTTATTATAAATATAAATTTAATTTGACAACTTTTGGCAGCAAGATATACTTTGAAAAAATATTTAATATTTTTTTATTATTAAAAGAAAAAAATATATATAAAAATAAATATATAATAATTACATATAAAAATAAAAAATAATAATAATAAAAAATAATTATATAAATTTTAAAAAATTCCAATAAATGAATAACTCAATAGTAAAATATGATAAATAAAACATCGATATATCATAATAAAATAGTTTTATATTTAATAGGCCTTTTGTTTCTAAAGTTGATTCAGGAAATAGTAAATTTAATTTAACTGGTATATCAAAAAATGATATATTATTTATGAATTAGCCTTCTAATAGAAATGTATTTTAACAAGACTCAAACAATACATAACAGCAACAAATAAAATATACACCAGACTTTTATATGAGTCTAAGAAACGAATAAAATTTTATAAATAATAATAATTTTACACAAAATAGCTTATATAATAGTTGTACAGATTTAAAGAAAATACAATAACCTCCTAGTTAGCAATTAATTTAAATATTTTCTGATAATTTTACAAAGCCAAAAAATTTATATAATTGTGCAAATATAACTAATTTAAAAATTGAAAGTAGTAATAATTCAAATATTAATTTAATAAATAATCAAAAACTAAATAAAGATAATAATCTTAATATTTCAAATAAAATTTAGAATATCAATTTACTTTAAAAAAATAATAATTAAGATACATTTTTTTAAAATTAAACCAATATTTAATCTGAAGAGGAAGAATAACAATAATAACAAAAATTAGAATAAAAAAAAAGTTAAAACAAACAAAAAATAAAATTATAAAAAAAATAAAGAAGGTAAATAAAAAACCCAACATTTTATAACAATAAGAATAATAAGTATAAAACAATTAATAATTATAACAAATAATCTAAAACTAAATTAAAAAAGAATCTTACGACGAAGAAGAAGAACAAGAACAAGAAGAACAGGAGGAAGAGAATCAAACAAATCCAAATAAAAAAAGCAGATAATCATAACATAAAAACGTATATAAAAATTATGGTAAAGAACTTCTGAGATACATAAAAAGTTAATAGGAGTTTTGTTTAAAATATGTTTCTTAATATGATTATGATTATTTAATATTTAAATTGACAAATGGATTAAATGAGAAAGATACAAAATAGACATTACCTATATAGAAAAAATAATTCCTTTAATAATTATGGTCAGTAGAATAAAATAATAAAAGTAATCAAAGTAATCTTATTAAACAAGAAAATAATTAAAAAAATAATAATAGTTCCGATAAAGAAGAAATTTCCTCAGATGATGATCAATGCACTAGAATTACGAAAATTTTTAGAAAATTAAGTTGGTAGTTTTTTGATAAAAAGGCGTTCTTTTATGTAATTAGTTCTAGAAAATTAGATAAAAAGTTAATTCATTTAAAATGTATCCCTACTTTTTTAATTGGAATATTATTTCCTAAATCTCTTGATAATTTTAGGCCTTTAAGAGATTGAAAATATTTAAATAAAAATTAGAAATAAAAATACTATATAAACAAACAATTATGGAAAAAAAAAAATATTTAAAAAATTATTTAAAAATATATTTTAATTTTAATCATTTTATTAAAAATATAATAATTATATTTATGATATTTTAATTATTTTTTGAAAAAAAATAAAAAAACTTTATTTCTTTATTTCTATACTTATTATAGTAATATATAAATTAATTAATATTTTAAATTAATTTGTATATTAATTAAAATTTATAATATAAAAAATTTTTACTATATATTTTTTTAAAAATTATTTCTTTTTTTATTTTTTAACAAAATAAAAAATAAAACAAACAAAAAGCATAATATAATTTTTTATTTTGATATGTTATATAATATAATATTCATTTTCATAAGTTTCCGTCTTATTTTCTACAAAACTCTTCGAAATCTCTATATCTAACCCTAACGGATTTTACAGAGTTTTTGCTTTTATTAGACTTTTAACTAAAAAACTATAAAAATATAAATTAATTTATAAAAGTTAATAATAAAATGAAATAAATAAATAAAAATAATAGGAATTAATTATAATTCTAAAAATTTCATAATTTCTATGTTTATTAATTCCAGTTTAATTATTATATATTATAAATACTGAAAGTAAGCTTGAAGCTTTAGTATTATTTCCTTTTCTATCTTCTTAATTTTCAAATAAACTACAGAACATATTAAAATCAAGCTCATCGCTACTCTATTCTATTTTTTCCATAAATTAATCTAAGTCAAACGATAAATCGAATTCTTCCTTTATAATTTTTAAAATAGTTTTCTTTTAAATTCTTCCTGTTAAATCATTATTACCACCTAATGCAACAAAAGCATCAACTTTTTATATAAATTCTAGATATATTTTTAATTATAAATAAATACTAAATTCATTTGCATCACTTTCTTCAATTTCTTCTTATTATTTAGATTGCTTTTATCTTATAACACCTACAATTAAATAAACTGTATCTAAATTTATTTACTTTATTTATTTATCTTCCATTTCTTTAAATATTTACTTTTTAGTAACAATATCAACATTTAATTTAAGATCTTATATTTATTTTTTAATTTAAATAATAAGACATTTTATGAAAAAAAAAAAAAATGGTGCAAAAGCAAAAATTAATATAAAAATTTTATATTAAAAAATACTTTTTAAAATTTCAAGTAGTTAGTAAAATTATAAATATTCTTATTAATTTTACTAAATTTTTTTAAAGTTTGCATTTATCATATCTATATCTACTTTTGTTATACCATATTTTATTTATATTTTGACATTATAATCATCAAAATTAGGTTTAAATATTTAAGATTACCTTTTTACCATAACATTTCCTGTATTTCTCCTTTACTATTATTCTTAAATTGTCATAGATTTTCTTTAATTCATTTGCTTTAAAAAAAATTATAAATTAAATATATAAATAAATAATATTTTTTAATTGTTTAATATACTTACTTAAACTATATATTTTATTTATATATAAGATCCTATTTTTAATTGTAAATTAATAATAAATTATTATATGGAAATAAAATCAATAATATTTGATTATAAAATGAAATTATGATAAATAATATTTAATTTGATGCTATTATAAATTTTTCTTTATTTTTATTTAAAAAAAAAAAAAAACTAAATTAAATTAAATTAAATTAAGATATAAAAAAGGTCGTTATACATTTATTTTTGTTATTTTATATTTTTTAAAAAAAAAATATAGAAAAATTAAAAAAATAAATAGAATTAGGATTAATATATAATTATTTAGTAAATAAAAATTAATAAATCATTTAAATATTTTACTTTTATTCACAATTTTTGATTTTAATATTAATAAAAATCTTAAAATATAAGAATACAAATAATTTTATTGATAAATAAATTATATAAGTATTATTAATTTTTTTTAATATTTATTTAATTTAAAGTAAATATTATAAAAATCTATTTAAAATTGTTTGTTTATTTTATATGTTAATATTTAATAATTAATTTTAAAAAATAAAATTTATATTTATATAACAAATATGTTTTTACTTTTTAATTTTAATCTTCCTTTTTTTACTTAATTTTATTTTTTTAAATATTCATTTAATTTTCAAGATTATAAATTAATTTAATTTTAAATAATCTTGAAAAATTATTATTATTTATAACAATTAAACATTTAATTTACTTTGAAATTATTCAAATAATTATATGAATTATTTTTATAAAATTTAATATAATTTTATTTAATATGTTATTTATTTTTTTTATATATAATTTAAATTATATTATATATCCATTTATTTATTTTTAAAATTTTTTATGTTGTAAATCTTATATATTTTCTATTAAATATAAATATATAAAATTTCAATATTATATATAGTTTAAAAAAATAATATTTATATAAAAATATATTTCTTATCATTTATTAAATATATATATTTTTTTATTAATATTTATATTTTTTTCTATTAGTATTATTTAAATGAATAATCAATAAAAAAAAATATAAAATTAATAAAAAATAACTTTATATGTTTAATATATTCTTAAAGGGAATTAAAAAACTAATATTTTAAAAGGATTAAAACATATTTAAAATTTCAGAAAGAAAACCTTAATTAAAAGAAAATTTAAATACTTTATAAACAGATAATTCTATAATAATTTTGGGTTCATTTAAAAATTCAAAATAAATATAAAAACATATTATAATAAAGCAAAAGATGTAAAACAAACTTATAAATGTAGAATATGTCTAGATTAAGGGTATATTTTATAATAATATATTCAATTTAAAAAATAAAAAAGAGAAACACCAAATAGTTCTGTTTGTATGCCTTGTAAATGTAGTGGAAGTATGAAATATGTCCATGTGGATTGTTTAAAAGTATTTTAATAAATAAAAATAATTAAAAAATATATACATATTATAAAGACTTGGATTATATAAAAGAAATAAATAAAATGTGAAATATGTCATTAAAATTATTCAATTAAATGGATTAAATGGGCAACGTAAATGGATTTAGTAAAGTAATAATACAAATAAAAATTAAAAAAATAAATAAATAAAGCTTAAAAAAGTTAAGAAATTAAATAAATTAACAGCAAAATGTGATAAATAGAAATTAATAATTTAATTTTTAATAATCTCTTATAAACAATTTTATAAAAAAGAATTTGAGTATTTCAATAGCAATAAAAATAGCTTTTTTAATATATATATTAGGAATAATTCTAGTATTTTTTTTTCAAATAAAAATATAAAAATAAGTGATAAATCATTTCAAATACATCAAGGATTTTAAAATATTTGTTTAATAATAGTTACTTGTTTATCAATTAGTTACATAATATATTTTTGTTGGATGATGACACATTAAGGTTTCGAGTTTGTCTTTGATTCCAATTTATAGTATTTTAAATAAAATCTGCCATAAATATCAAATTAATAAATAAACAATTTATAAAATTAACTTCCTAATAATTTTATAAGAAACAATATAAATAATAATAATAGTAATATGGAATTTATTAATAATAATGAATAAATAGAAATATTATCCGAAACAAATAATTAAAATAATATTTCACATGTAAATAACCAACAAGCCGAACTTTAAGGCAACAATTAGTTAAATATATCACATTAAATTAATAATGAATAATTTGATTTCAATAATTTTCATGGCATGGAGAATACATATGAAAATAATAAATAAATCATAATTAAAAATTGTACAAAATAAATTTTAAAAACTCGAGTACTTGTTTAAAGTCATAATAATTTAGATAACAAAGTTAAAATAATAAGGTTTGATAATGATTTTAATATTAGTAAGAAATATAATTTAGATAATTTTGATTAAAATATATAAAATTAAAAATAATAATAATAATTATAATTATAATAAAATGAATAAATTATATAATAACAATAATAATAATTTATTACAAAAAACACTAAACATATTTAAAAATAAAATAGCTTAAAAATTAATAATTAATGGAATAAATATTTCAATAATGACGAAAATTGTGAAAGATAAAATTAAAATTAAAAATTTTAAAGCAAGATGATTTTTTTTCTTAATAAAATAATTTAGAAATGAATAAATATTAGAATTAAAAATAAACTTAGTTATAAAAAATGTAAAATATTCAATTTGAATTTAAAGGAAAGAATGAAATTTTATAAAAATTAGATTTTACTAAAAAATCGATATGTGAAGAGAATATTGAATATTCAAATAGTGAAAGAGATTAAAAATAAGTTATTAAAAATCTTGATAAAATTAAAATTAGTTAGATAGAAAAACAAAATGAAGATTGATAATAAAGAATTTATTTTTTTATTTAATTTAAAATAAATATAGGTAAAAATTAAAATAGATAAAATTAAAAAATATATATAATTTATTAAATTTGTTAAAATAATATTTTAGAAATAATATCTTTTATATATATTCTTTATTTTCAATTATTTTTATTTAAAAAAAAGTAATTAAATAATTAAAATAATTATTTATTTATCTTATAATACAATTTTTTTAGATAATTTTTATTATATATGAATTCGCTTTAAAAATATAATAAATTTAATGTATTTATATAATAAATAGTTTTTAATTAAAATTCTTTTATAATTTTTGCAATATTACGATAAATATATATAATAAACATTAAAATTATTTACAAACATTTTTTCTATAATATAAAAATATAATTATTAAACTATAAACACTATAATTTTTTCTAAATTTAAAGTATAAATATGGACTCAATTAAGGTCATTAGATTTCATTATTACAAAAATATATAAATATATAAATATTTATTATGAATATAAATATATATTATTTATCTCATAAAAAATACAAATAATAAATATATAATTATACAAATCTTTTATCAGAAATATAAATAAATATTTTAATCAAAAATTATATCTTTTTTATTTTGTAATTACTAATAGTTAATAAAAGTTATAAAAAATATGTAGGAGTATAATAATGCTGTGAAACTTTAACTTTAATAGAATATATTCATTGATCTGATTTTAATTTTTAAACCTATAATTACTCTTATTCTGTATAATAATGCTTATGCTTGACTAAGGATAAAACTATAACTAATTATGAAGATGGATTTTGCTGGAAAAAAAAAATTTTATAGAAAAATTGCATTAAATTGGAAAAATGCTCTAAAGATTGTCTTGATTTTGGGCTTACTTAAAATAATACCAATTAAAAATGCTCCGAACCTTTAGATTGTGAAACTAATTGTTAAAAAATAGCTTGTGTATGTTTTGATTATTATAAAATTAAAGGAAAATTGCTAAACCTCAATGCTATTTAGAAAAATTAAGATGCCACAATAACCATACTTTTTGTAAAAAATATGGATTTGATTAAGTCAAAAAGATGTCAGTTAATGTATTTGTCCTCCTGATATGTATTTAGATAACAGTTTTTGTAAATGGAATGATGAAAAAATACAATTATATTTTTTTATTTATATAATATTAATTATTCATATTGTTTTCTTTATTTTGTCTGATTTTTTTGTTTAAACAAAAAAAATCAAAAAAAAACGCATGAAGTTTATCGAGCTTTTTTTTTAAAAAAAAATACATACAAAAAAATTGAACAATTAATTTAAAAAAATTATTGAAATATTAGTCTAATAATTTTTATAATTTAATATTTAAAAAATAGGAATAATATTAAAACTCAACAATAAATTAGTTATTATTTTTAATAAAAATATTATTTATTTTTATTTAATTATAAATATTATAATTATTTATTATTTCTAATTAAAACAAAAAAATTTAAAAAGTTTTTTATATATATATTAACATTTAATTAAGTTTCACTTTTTTTCTTCATTTGTTTCTTATTCATTAATATTTTATTATTAATCTGTCTATCTAAAAGAAAAAAGATTTAGAATAATATTTTAATTTAAGGAATTTTATTTCTATTTAATTTATTATTAATTATTTTCTTGAGGCTAGTAAAATTAATTATTTTATAACTTCTTAAGCATTTCTTCATATTTTAATATTTATTCCTAGTTTTCATCTTAAAACTTATTAGTTTTTATTAATTATTATTTATTTTAATCAAAATAAAAATCATTAATTTTTTTATTTTAATTTTCCTTATTCTTTTAATTTTCATTTATATTTTAATTTTCTTCAGTTTTAAATATGTTATTATTGTTTGTTTTTAATTCAATAAAACTTTTAGATTTAAAAACTCCATCAAATTAGAAATTATTTTCAGTAAATTTACATTTTTGTTTTTAAATATAGTTGCTATCTTTATT